TTTACCCGGAGTCACATCGCACTCCTCACTGGCGCGTAGCACAGGCAACGTGCCCTCCCTGGCAGTAAGAGGAGCGGCAGCGGAACCTGCATGCGGCTGTGTGCGGGGCTCGTACAAATTCCACGTCCGGAAAAAGTCACACTGAGCAAGACGCTTATTCACATCGCCCTTACGCAGCGAAGGCCTGTGTCGGACACCGAACTCAACAAACAAGCTCCCCAACGTAAAACCCACATCCACGACGGAGCCACGAGGTACACCCACCGCCTCACAGACATCTGCATCAAACGCCTCGCACAGCGCACCGAGCTTTCGCTCCAGCACCAGATCCCAGTCGTCACCTTCAAACTGTGCACGGTGCTGAGTCACCACGGACTCCCCATCGTGCTGCGTTGCCATCGCTGTATCAAGTGGTGTTGCAGATTTCCTAGCTGGAGACCTGTCCATTAAGCCTTCGCACGAGATAAAAGGTGAGCATGCTGCTGTTTTTCTGTCACCCCCAAAAAAACGTTTTGGACTGTGAAGGGCCGTTGTACCAAGTTCCGTTTGATTATCTCTGAAGGGTTGTTTTGACTTCACCGATTTTTCCTTTTTGGGTTCAGCATTGTTTAGTGTGTTGTTCAGTATATCTCTTTTTTTGTTGTATAGACTCCATAAGTGCGTGTAGTCGTGTTCCAATAGCTGATGATGCATTATTTTGATTTTCTCTTTTTTTTCTTGGGTGACCGTGTATAACACCACTAACATATCACCCTCAATGTAGAGTCGTTGTTTTAAGCTTCCCAGCAATACTTGTGGCATCAGAAAAGTCACGTTCGATTGCTCTTTGAAGCTCTTCATTGTGGTCTTTGAGAATAGACCCCCATAATTCTCCCGGAAACTTTTTTTTGTAATATGCGGAAGCACTAGCGAGATTGCTATGTCGCACAGTGTGTTGAACACAACAGCTTTCTCTCGCCGTAGGATGAATACTTATATCGTGAGTGCCTTTATCCTTGATGTTTCTTTCAATCCATTGACGATCTGTAATATTTCGTTGAATTTTCTTTGGTGACATTGAGGATGTTAACAGACTTTCTGATGTAGCTAATTGAGACATTTCATGTCTTTTTTCCTCTTTATAGTATAGAGCCCATACTTCTGCGTAGTCGTTTGTAACAAGTGCCTGGTCTATATTACTTGCCGAAAATGATAAGGGATGTCGAATTGAAAACTGTGCCACAAGCGAACCGATGGAGAAAGAAATTCCAAAGACATCCGCTTCAAGGAGTCCCAATGCATTTGCAGTAGAACTTCGAAAGACCGCGTAAAGCTCATCATAATGTTTTTCCATAACAGCCTTCCACTCACCTCCTTTGAACTCCACTTTATGATTGGTTGTTACATTGTCATCGTCATAGTCCAGAACGTCGCCCGCGTCATGGTCCTCCATTTGTGCCAAGTCCTCGCAATTTAAAGGAACCACCCGTGCCGATAGTGCTCCGTCTACATTGACTTTCTGCTCTACTCCAGAGACGTTAAACAACTCCCTGTTTATATTTCCCTTCACTACAGCATCATGTGTGTGATCTGCCCCGTCTCCAAAACTCTTCATTATTGCCCACAACTATCACTTTTTGATAATAAGCAAAACTATGGGTAACACCGTTTATGGTTGTTGTATGTGAAAAACTCCTATATATATATATATATATATATATATATATATATATATATATATATATAT